CTAAAATTGATACTTGGGGTGCTTTTGTGGTCATTCATGGACACACACACATGAAGAGAGGTGACAATATTGAGTTGCTAGAACTGAAGTCAAGACTTGGTGATGCCCCTCCTCCTCATTCCTGCTCTCATACTGTAAATAATTATCCTTTTCACAGTCTATTTAGTGCCTGATTTTGTCATTTTTGTGCTTTTTCTTGGTGATTTTGCTAAAATGACTGCTGAAGAACTGTCTGTGTGTCACAGAGAAGTCACATGTGTCACATGAGCTTCCTTCATGTTGCACTGCCGTGCTGTTGGCTGTGGTGTTGGTGTTAATGAATTAACAATATCTATTAAATAAGGTCTCTTTAAACAGAAATCAACCCTGAATATTCACTGGAAGGACTGCTGAAGCTGAAGCTCCAATACTTTGGCCATCTGATGCAAAGAGCCAACTCATTGGGAAAGACTCTGATGCTGGGAGAGATTGAGGGCAGGAGGAGAAGGGGATGACAAAGGATGAGATGGTTGGATGGCATCACCAACTCGATGGACATGAGTTTGAGCAAACTCCAGGAGACGGTGAAGGACAGGGAAGCCTGGAGTGCTGCAGTCCATGCGGTTGCAAAGAGTCTGACACTACTCAGCAACTGAACAACCACCAATAAGCTGCATGCTTTCACGTGTTTTTCTCTGAGGCTGTATCTGCGGGACCAAGCCTGAGACAGTTGGTACCAGACACGGTCCTAGAAAGTGGCCCCTCAGGATGGGATCCTTTGCCAACCAGAGGGTCACCAGGTGCCCACTGCTGAGGGGCGTGGGCTGGTGGTGTCTCAGGCCCACTGTAAGCCCTCAGGCTGAGACTCACATGGTGGGGGGACCGGGTCCAGATGGAAGGGAGCAACTGGCCTGACCAGTTGAGGGACATGGACACCAAATGAACTCCCAGGACAGCAGAAGGGATCGGTGGGGCTGGACCAAGGGCAGAGCCCTGGAGGAAGGGACCATCGGCCCTGCGGCCAAGGACTGACCATGGAACACATGTGAGCCAGAAGGCCCTATGCAGGCTGTATAGCACCCCGTCTTCTACGGCCAGAGGGCAGAACATGCCAAAAACGGAGGCCCCGGATCTGGTGGTCAGAGTGTCCTTCTGCCAGAGGAGGTGGAATTCACAGTCCCCACGCTGACTGCAGCGCCAGGACTTGGAATGACCCGCAGGACCATGGATCGTGCCACACTCCTGATCAGGCACACATGGGGCTGGAGCTCTGCCACTAAGACTATGTGACCTCGGGCAGGTCGCTCTGAGCCCCTCATCTTCCTTATCTGTAAGCTAGGGCCACAGTGCTCACTACTAGAGCCTTGCCCAGTACGAAGCACAAAACAGAAATTCAGGTAACAGGGCTCTGGTATTTGATTTTTTTTTATTTGAACAATTAAATTAATTGCTCCTTAGAAGAAAAGCTATGACCACCCTAGACAGCATATTAAAAAGCAGAGACATTACTTTGCCAACAAAGGTCCGTCTAGTCAAAGCTATGGTTTTTCCAGTAGTCATGTATGGATGTGAGAGTTGCACTATGAAGAAAGCTGAGCACCAAAGAACTGATGCTTTTGAACTGTGGTGTTGGAGAAGACTCTTGAGGGTCCCTTGGACTGCAAAGAGATCCAACCAGTCCATCCTAAAGGAAATCAGTCCTGAATATTCATTGGAAGGACTGATGTTGAAGCGGAAACTCCAATACTTTGGCCACCTGATGTGAAGGACTGACTCATTGGAAAAGACCCTGATGCTGGGAAAGACTGAAGGCGGAAGGAGAAGGGGACGACAGAGGATGAGATGATTGGATGGCATCACCGACTCGATGGACCTGAGTTTGAGTAAACTCTGGGAGGTGGTGATGGACAGGGAGGCCTGGCGTGCTGCAGTCCATGGGGTCACAAAGAGTCGGACACGACTGAGCGACTGAACTGAACTGAAAGTTTATATTTTATATCGGAGTATAACTGATTAACGATGTTGTGACAATTTCAGGCTGACAGCGAAGGAACTCAGCCACACATACATGTATCCCTTTTCCCCCAAACTCCCCTCCCAGGGGCTGCCACACAACAGTGAGCAGAGTTTCCTGTGGGTGGCGGTGTTACTTTAACCAAGTGAGATACAGGGAACAGAACGTAGCGCACAGTTCGCGGGCACTAAGTGCATTCACGTGGTTCTGCCACCATCACCACCATCCATCTCCAAAACCCTTCATCCTCCCAAACTGGAACTCCGTCCCCACTAAACACTCACTCCCCTCTCCCCCATCCCCAACCCCTGGTAACCACCATCCTGTTAATACTTCCCGTCTTTATGCTTTTGACTAGCTACCTCTTGTAAGTGAAATCACGCAGTATTTGTCCTTCTGTGACTGGCTTATTTTACTTAGCATAACTCAAGGTTCATCCACATTGTATCCAGTGTCAGAATTCCCTTCGGTGGGAGAAGGAAGTGTCCACCCACTCCAGTAGTCTTGTCTGGGAAAACCATGGACAGAGGAGCCTGGCAGGCGTCCAAGGGGTCGCAGAAGAATCAGACAGGACTTGGCGGCCAAACAGCAAGGTATACAATGCATAGTTGAGTTAATCAAAACCTGGTCTTATAAGGAGTACGCTGCCAGCATTTTTCTTCGGCAGTCACCGGTTGCTGATGAGATTACATGAGCTCAGTGTAGGCCTCCTACTGTGCCTTCCTCCTAACTCCAACTGCACACGAGTCGGGTACCTGGCAGTGTTTTCTGAGAAGGTCAGTCAATCTCCACTGTATCTGAAAGGACGGTTTCTGCTTGTCATCTTTTTTATTTTTTTTATTGAAGTAGAGTTCATGTCCTATATTTTGTAAGTTACAGGTGAACAATGTAGTGATCCACAGTTTTTAAAGCTTACAGTCATTTAGAGTTATAGTAAACTACTAGCTGTAAAAAAAGGATTCCCTTCCTTGACAAGGCCAGAGAACACGCCACTGCATGGAGGGACCACATTTTCCCCATTGATTCGTCCATTCGTGGACATTTGGGTTGCTTCCATATTTTGGCTGTTGTGACTAATACTGCTATGAACACGAATGAATGGCTTTATTATTTTAATTAAACAAGCAAGCATTTGCCGAAGGAAGACCTGGACCAAATACTGGAGCCTCTCCTGATGGAGCGCCCTTGCCCTTAAGCTATATTTTATGGTTGGAAGAAACTCTGTTCCCAGGTGGAATGCAGAGGCAGGGGTCAGGAGGCGTGGTGGGGGCCAGGGGCTCCTGCCTCACCTGATACCAGCTGTGACCGCTGCCAGCTGCCTCAGCGCCCAGACAGGATGGTATAACCGCCAATGTCCCAGTCACGTCCCTATGCCCGTGGCTTTACTTGCATCATCCCTGGGGCATGTGCATGTGTTGAGTCACTTCAGTCGTGCCCCACTCTTTGCGACCCCCTGGACTGCAGCCCACAGGCTCCTCTGTCCACGGGAGTCTCCAGGCAAGGATACAGGAGTGGGTTGCCCTGCCCTACTCCAGGGGATCTTCCCGACCCAGGGATCGAACCTGCGTCCCTTACATCGACAGACGGGTTCTTTACCACTTGTGCCACCTGGGAAGCCCCATCCCTGCAAAAGCTGGTTTTCATTCAGAAAAAACTCTGCCCTTCTTTCCTTTGCTGCGATCACTCCTTCTCACTTCCGGGAGGGGTTTAAAGATTCAGGTCTCCTGTTCTTCGCCCCCTCCCCTTTCCTTCCCTTCCTGAAAGTTCCAGTCAAGAAGCCATTAGCTTAAAAAAAAAAAAAAAAAGAAGCCATTAGCTGAGCTGAGGTGGGCGCCCCCTGCCTGAGAGGAGGGTGTCCACACAGGAGGGCAGCGGGCCCAGGGTGGGAGGAGTGTGCCTGCGTCAGTAGGGGTCCAACGTGGGGGGCTGGAGCCTGAGCGGGGTGAGGGGCTTGCGTGCCGCGGGAGGGGAGGGTGGCCCAGCACAAGGGGTCAGAGTTGAGTGAGGTGGGTGTCCACATCGGGGGGGGGGGGTCCAGGATGGCGTAGAGGGGCCTGAGCCGGCGGGCAGGGGAAATCATTCACGTGGTGCAGGGGGCAGCTGGCTGTGGCTACTCGAGGTCGTTACATACAGGGGCGTTGACCAATTAGAGTAAGTCCCCTACATACGAATGAGTTCCATTCCAAGAACATGTTTGTACGTCCAATTTTCTTGCTAAGTCCAACAGAGTTAGCCTAGGGACTCAACTGACACCATTGGCTATATAGTGCTGTTGCTGCTCAGTTGTCAGTTGTGTCCGACGCTGTGACCCCATGGACTGCAGCCCACCAGGGTCCTCTGTCCATGGGATTCTCCAGGCAAGAATACTGGAGTGGGTTGCCACACCCTCCTCCAGGGGAGCTTCCTGACCCAGGGATCGAACCTGGGTCTCCTGCATTGCAGGTGGACTCTTTACCGCCTGAGCCACCTGCGAAGCCCATATAGTAACTGTGCTGTAATAAGTTTATAACACACAAATAATTCATATATAAAACACAAACACTAAAAATAAAACATCTCTAACCTTACAGTATAGCACCTTGAAAAGCGCAGTGGAACAGTTCAACAGCTGGCACACGGGGGCTGGCATCGAGTGAGGAGGCCAGAAGACCTGCTGACTGGGGGAGGAGAGGCGGTGGGAGACAGCGGAGCTAAGGGATGGTCAGTGACGGGAGACGGAGGGCCAGCCGCAGGGTCGGGCACGCCTGGCGTGGACGGAGCGTGTGTTCGCGTCTTTCAAAGTTCGCAACTTAAAGGCTCGTATGTAGGGGACTTACTGTACCACGACAAAACAACTCACATGAGTTTTTGGCTTCGCAGTGCATATAAAATTTATGTTTACATGATTCTGTACTCTTCTAAGTATGAAATAGCATTATCTTAAAAGACTGTACATGCCTTGATTAAAAAATGCTTTATTGCTAAATGATGCTGAAATGGTGACCATAATAATATCAAAGGCCACTGATCACAGATTACCATTAACAAACGTACCCAAGGTTTTGAAGTATGGCCATAAATGCCAAAATGTGACAGAGGGACACAGAGTGAGCAAAAGCTGTTGGAAGAATGTCACCAGCAGGGTTGCTGGACGCAGGGTTGCCAATCTTCGATTTGTATAAAAGCACCATATCTGCAAAGCACAATAAATGAGATGTGCCTATTTTAAACCTTCCCAGTTCAGACTTCTATGTGGTTTGTCTCCCATGGTACCTGGCCGTAGACAAGGGCTCAGGTTTTGGTGTGTAGAAGGGATGCTCAGGGAATGTTGGATCAGATGCTAGGGTCTGCCTCATAGCTCTGGGTACCCATAGTGGGATTCAGGGGAGGGGCCCCTTCTTCCGCCACCATCGGCCCTCAGCTGGGGCTGCTCTTGTGCTGGGTGTGAGAATCCATTCCATTTGCCAAAGGGAGAAACTCCAGTTTGGCCGCCTGCCCCCAGCAAGAGAATGGAGAAACCAGAAAGCTGGTGCTAGGCTTGCTTCACGCCTGGAGGAACCGAGGACCGGGGTGAGCTGGGAGCCCCATGTCCTGGGCAGGGAGGGCAGGTGCAGGACAACGTCTCCCCTGCTCAAGTTAGAATCAGTTAAGCAAAGCCAGGCAGACTCTGGAACAACCAGGAAGGATCAGAGCTTGGTCCCCACTTGAGCTGACTTCATTGTTGTTCAGTCACTAAGTTGTGTCCAACTACTTGCAACGCCGTGGATTGCAACACTCCAGGCTTTCCTGTCCTTCACTATCTTTTAGAGTTTGCTCAAACTCATGTCCATTGAGTCAGTGATGCCAGCTGACCATCTCATCCTCTGTCGCCCCCTTCTCCTCCTGCCCTCCATCTTTCTCAGCATCAGGGTCTTTTCCAATGGATTACCTGGATGGGTCTAAATCCAGCGAAAAGGGTCTTAGGGAAAGGACAGGGGGATTTGACACAGAGGAGAGGCCACAGGAAGATGAAGGCCGAGGCTGGAGGGACAAGGCCACGAGCCTAGGGACGCCTGGAGCCGCCAGAGTTGGAAGAGGCAGGAAGGATCCTTCCTGGAACCCCCGAAGGGATCACAGCCCTGCCCACACCTTGATTTGGGACTTCTGACCTCCAAACTGGGAGAGAACAATTTTCTGTTGTTTTAAGCCACAGGAAACTTACACAGATGGGAAGACGGTCCCCTGCCTCTGGGCCGAGCCCTTTCCGGGTTGAATAACTCTTCTCTGCTTGATTTAAAGCCCTTTGAAAACAGACGGACACTGTGAAGAGCCTGAGCTGGGGTCAGGCTAGAAGGAGATCCCCACATCCGGGTCTCCCTCCAGAGGCTGGGATGCAGGGTGCAGGGCCCTTAGACCGGCAGGGGTGTGGCCGTGGCCTCCCGTGTGTGGGAGGGACTGTACCTGTCCTGCTCCTGCAATCCGGGGGCTCCTTTGCCTTCTCCATCCTTGGATGCATCTATAGGTCCATTGGGCCTTCTCCTGGAAATTTCCATCTCTCCAGCAAATTCTCACCAGTCTCTGAAACTTGCTGTCCCAAACTGGGCTCCACCATAGCCCAAGGTTGCCAGAATGTCCAGTCTCCTGAAGGTCCCTCCTGAGGCCTGGGCATGCAGGGGCAAGGCCTGGGGTCCTGCATGCAGATTGTGTGTCTGTGGACAGTAGGGACAAAGGAAATGAGGATTCTGTGTCTTTGTGGCCCACACTTTATGTTGCTCACAGAAGTGTGGGGGGTAGATTGTCATGTTTTCTACTCTTTGATTAAAGAGAGGGAAAAACCCCACAGAGACAGTCGAAGCCCCTCATTTCCCTCTTGGTGAGTGCTCCCTTCCCCATCCTAAGGCCTTCTTGAACCCCTTGGGGCCTCCAACTCTGAAGCCAGGGTTTCCACTCCAAATGCCAGGGCCGGGGCCCCAGTCCCCTTGTCTGCCTGACCACCCAGGCTGGAAATCAACTCTACCTTTGACTCAGGAAACACCACCCCTAGGGATTCACCAGGGGACAAGCCAACAGCCCAAAGAGGACATATGGGATATGACAAGGGAATCTCGGATGTTGTGATGGAGCAGAGAACTGACTCTGTGCAGCTCATATGTCCTGGCCAGAGAAGACCAGGGTCGACTTAAAACTGGCTGGAGGTTCCCAGTTCTGTGCATGTCTGACAGCATCTTGGGATGGCCCTAGGCCCTGCAGCCTGGAAACTCACCTGGTGGTGGAGGAGACAGCAGCGCCCCCCCACCCCCCCGCCACCCCACCCCTTTAAGCATCACACAGCAAGAGCCAGCTCTAACAGGCCAGATTGCAGAGCAAAAACCTTCAGGTTCCTCAACTGCACTTGGAACCTGGAGTGTGCACTTCAAACCTGGGTCATTCCTAGAAGCAATGCTTATGGAAGAGCCAAGGAACAACTATTTTGCAGTTTGCTCAACCACAAGTCTTGGAAAAACTGGAGAGGTCTTCATTGTGCAGTAAGCCAGTTCAGTTCACTTTCTTCCCAGATTGTTCCTCTCTTGTTTGAGGGTATAACTGACATTCAGTAATTTGTACAGACCTCACACTTAAACTGTATATACCAGGTAGCCAGCCTTGGATATAGGATGTTTCCATGACACCAGAAAGTTCTCCATGTCCCTACCTAGTGAATACCACCTGCCGGGAGGCAAACGATGCTTCAGACTTCTATCCCCATAGATGAGTTTCTTTCTCTTCTAGGACATCACATGTTTGAAACTAAGCAATTTGTACTCTATGGTTTCTAGCTTCTTTTCTCAACATAATGGTTTTGAAATTCATCCTTGTTGTGGCTCACTCATTATTATTTCTGATTAGTATTTCATCACATAGCTAGACCACACTTTATCCATTCTTTTGTTGGTTAGCATTTGCCTTGCTTCCAGTTTGGGGCTTTTATAAATATAGCTGCCATAAATATCTTTGGAGGGAGAGAGAAGAGAGAGGGGAAGAAATGGGAACATAGATTCTCCAACTATATGTTGGTGAAGACTCTTGAGAGTTCCTTGGACTGCAAGGAGATCCAACCAGTCCATTCTAAAGGAGATCAGTCCTGGGTGTTCATTGGAAGGACTGATGTTGAAGCTGAAACTCCAATACTTTGGCCACCTGATGTGAAGAGCTGACTCATTTGAAAAGACCCTGATGCTGGGAAAGATTGAGGGCAGGAGGAGAAGGGATTGACGAAGGATGAGACGGTTGGATGGCACCACTGACTCAGTGGACATGAGTTTGGGTGAACTCCGGGAGTTGGTGATGGACAGGGAAGCTGAGCACACTGCAGTCCATGGGGTCGCAAAGAGTCAGACATGAGTGAGTGACTGAACTAAACTGAACTAAATAGGAGCCCATCAGTCCATACTGAAACAATATATATTAATACATTGAAAGTTTGATGAGAATCAGATGTTTATATCCTCCTGAAGTTCATCTCCACAGAGTACTTATTATAAAGAATCTTCAGATTCTCAACAAGCGACTTTCCCGTGGAGAAGCCTGGCACACATCCCTTAATCAAGGGACCCAAGTGAGCATCATCAGTTACGGGTCAAATTGAAATGCTTTGCCACCTGAGAGGATGCAGTGACAGAAACTCAGCCTCACTCTGCGATATTCCCGCCAGAGGTACCTGACCTTAATCTAATCATGGAGAGCTGTCAGAAGAAAGCTAAAGTGAGGGACTCCACAATAACTTAACCTTCATGATTGCCCGAATCATGCAATTAAAGGGAAGGGTGAGGAACTGCTTCACGTGGAGGAAGCTGAAGCATCACCAACCGAAGTAACTGGGGGCTCTGGGCAAGCTCCCTTGCTATAAAGGACATTACTAGGGTCATTGGGAAAACATGAGTCTGGTGTGGTGATGAAACAGCATCCACCCACCTGTGTAAATGTCTCAATCGTTACCACCTGGTTTTGTGGGGGGCCCTCTAGCTGCCGGAAAACACACCCAAGTCTGCTCAGAAGTCTTGGAGCATCGCAGCAGCAACTTACAGTTTAGGAAAGTGAGGTTTTTGTGCTATGCTTGAAACCGTCTTGTAAGTTTGAAATTATTGACTAATAATAAGAGGACGCTTTCCCTGCCCTTGAGGAAACCAGTTTTTCAGCAGCCACTGATCCTCTCTGTGTTTATCCCAGGTGTGTCTGAGACGACAAGGGTGGCTATTTTATGTCTGGGTTCCTTTCTGGTGCTGGTGGGAACCGGAAGGAGTACCAGCCCTCAGCATGGGGCTGTTTCTGGGATCCTATGGGTTGTCCTAGGCAGACACGAAGCCCAGGCACTGCTGAGGTTGAAAGGGAGGGAAGTCTGTGCACGTGTAGGGGTGGGTGGTAGAGAAACCTCCTTGACTGGAGCTTGAGCCTCGGAAACAGGGGAGTGGTTAGAAACTTGCTTACAACTCGTTTTATCCCTGTAGCAACCCTGGAAGGTTAGCATTATCTTTCGTGAATTAAGCCTCCGCACCAGGGCCCCAGGCACTGTTCCAGATGTTGAGGACACAGCAGTGAACAAGGCAGACAAAGCCCCCCGCCCTTAAATAACTTACAGCCTGGGAGAGAGATGCGGTCAGGAGACGCAATGGACAAGTGAAAGATACAGGACGCTAGGGCGATTCTTGGCGGCTCAGATGGGAAGGAATCTGCCCGAAATGCAGGAAACTTGGGTTCGAAACCTGGGCCACGAAGATCCCCTTAGAGGAGGAAACGGCAACCCACTCCAGTATTCTTGCCTGGGAAATTCCATAGACAGGCTACAATCCATGAGGTCGCAAAGAGTCAGACACGAGAGAGCAACTCACACACACACACACACACACACACACACACAGGATGCTAGATGGTGATGTGTGCTAAGGAGAAAACCAACCAAACCAAACACAAAGGCCATTAAGGAAACTAAAAGCTAGGTACTGGACCTGAGCAAATGGTAAAGGTCTCTCTCTGGGAAGTGGAATTTGGCGTGCATGTGTGTTTTCAATTTTAACCTCGCTTTATTTGAAATGCCTATGAAACACCTAAGTGGTGCTGCCAGAAGTTTAGAGACACGCAGGTGGGCATCTTTGGTACATAAGCTGTTTTGGAGATACAGAGGGGACTCCTTGGGCAGGATCAGGACTGGCACCTTTGCACAGGTGAGAGAACAGGTATGTAGACAGGCTGCCTCACTGGGCCCAAATCACATGGCTGCTAGGCTGTGGAACTGAGATTCAAACCCAGGTCAGACTTATGTCAAGGCCCTAATCACAGCTGTCCCGGAGTCTTGCCGCTGTTGACTTGGCCTTGGGCAGGTCACTTGACCTTTCCTCCTCTTCCAAAGGAGAACTGGGCAGTGGAGGGGCAAGCACGATGCAGGGGGCGCTGCGATGCTCAGGCGGGTGGCCGAGGAGCCAGCAGCTGCCCAGACGGGCTAATCACCCTGGGTATGTCCCCCGCCCTCTTCCTGCCGCCCACTCTGGCACCTGCTCCCATCAGAGCAGCCCTGCCTTCTGGGCAGGGGTGGGGTCGGCAGGGGTGAAGGGGAGACAGGAAAGCAGAGTCTGAAAGCCACGGTATCACTTTACATTGAGAAGCACCTGCCACCCAGCCTGATATTCTGGGCTCAGCAGGACCTGTGGGCTCTCCCTGTGGGCACAGGATCCCAGCAAGCAAATCCCTGCCAGCCAGTGGCTGGGTGAACCTGGTATTTGAAGAAGGGGCGTGGGAGAGGGATGCAGGTTTGGTGGGACTCAGCTGGGTCTCTGCAGTGCCCCCTTGCCCCTGCTGGGGGGACTGGAACGGATCCCGTGGCAGGGGTGCGGCGCCCAGGTCAGCTGCGGGCTGGGCTGGCACTCCTGGGCTTCCGGGGCTGGCCCAGGCTCCTTCCGCCAACTCAGTCTTCCTTTCGAGTTGTTAACATCTTTCCATCTGTCCAGGACTGGCGGGGCCCCACCGCCTCTGTGGCTTAGCACCTCCACTGGGGCATCCAGCGGCTTCACGCTGTAAATGCCGGTGGCTCCTGTCACGTGGGGGGCTGGGCAGGTGCCTGGCCACACTACTTCCTGTCCCCCACCCCCCTCCTCTGCCAGCTGGCAGGAGGCGGCCTCCAGCTGGCCACGCTCACTGTGGGGAAGTCGAATTTCCAGTTTCCCCCAGCAAAGCTGCTCTGGGCTGTGGCCTCTGGCCAGCTCAGAGAGCTCCGGCCCACCCTGAGGGCCTCTCAGCGGAGGCTGGAAGAGCAGCCAGCAGCACAGGGGGTGCGGGTGGGGGGTGGAGGCAGGCTCAGAAGTGGGGACCCGGAGGGACTTGTGTGTGGGGTCACCCATCTGCCTCCCCTGCGCCAGGAATACTTGGCGCTGGGCCGGGAGCGGATGAAGCCAGCGTCTTGGGAGTCTGGGGACTTGTCAGGGTCGGATTTTGGTGTCAGCCGCAGGGGGCGCTGTCGGGATGGACGCTGGAAAGCTTCTAGTGGGGAAGACAGTGATGTTTGGGGCTGTGAGGGGCTGCCCGGACATGGCTGGACTTGGGGCCTGGGGACCGAGACCTAGGGAGAGCCACACAGGACTGTGGTGCCCATGGGGTTTCTTCCTCCCTGGGCACCAAGCGAGGAGACAGGGTGGCAACGGCAGTCTCAGTGGGGTGCAATTTGGGGATTTGGAGCCAAGCACTATGAAAATATTGGAAAGTTTAGCCATAAATCGGAAGCTAATGAAACTGAAGCAATCATTCATTAGTTGTGCTATCAGAGAGGAACGTGGCAAGGCAGCTTCTGATGTCAGAGACGCCCGGAGGCTTTCAGAGCAAAAGAGCAGAGCGTGCAGGTTCCTGAGCCGATCGGCTTCACCTGAGGGGTGGTCAGACCCCGCACGGCCCCACCCCCGCCCAGTGGGCGTCCCCAGGAGGAAAGGTGAGGGCAGTGGGAGGAGCGCTGGTGTTTAAGATCTAGTCCCGCCTCCACCTCTGTAGATTCATGTCCTCAGCCAATCACTGTGCCTCAATTTCGCATCTGTGAAAGGGGATAATAGGCGCTATGTCTGCCACTCAAGGTCAAGAGGGAGAGAAAATCAGGTAAGCAGCCGTGTTGGTGGTGGTGGTTTGGTGGACCACAGACCTTGTGGTCATCGACACTGTCCACGGAAGCCGCCTTTCTGGCACGCCTACTCTGTGCCAGGCCCTGGGAATGGCAGGAAGCCAAGGAGGGCCCGGGGCTCTTCCCGGAATAGAAGGACCCGCCTGCCCTCCTCTCTGCAGGACCGAGCTGGGCTCTTTACCACCTCCTCCCCCACGCCAGCCTCAGGGCTTCTGCACTTCCCGGGCTCACCTTTCTCAACCACTCCCTTTTCCTTCCGTACCCATATCCACTCTTCCGGGTGGCGGAGACATTTAGGCACCAATACCGTGCCATCTGCCCGCCTGTGGCAACCCCAACTTCTTGGCATCTGCGCTTTTCACCAGGATAAGGGCTCTGCTTCAAGCCCTGACTGATATTGGAGGTCGCCTCACCTTCTGATGCCTCAGTCTCCCAACGTATAAACTGGGAAAAAACGGTCCCCACCTCCTGGGAGTCGTTGTAAACGAGATAGGGAACCAAAGCTTGAGGATGACGCCTGGTATCCAGGAAAGGCTGTTCCTTTCATGATTGCTATTCTGTAGCCATTATTGTCAACCTCGCAGGCAGGATATAGAGGGTGAGGCCGCGCGCCCGACCCGTGGGAGCCTCTCAACAAATTCCCGACCAGCCTGAGACCCAGGAGGGGGCCCGTATCCTTGGGTACCGGCACTGCCCAACGAGGGAGTGAATCGGCAAAACCCGTTTCTCCGAAAACCCGACGCACAGTAGGTGCTCAAGAAATGGCCGGCTGACGCTAGGCAGCTAGTGGCCGGGTTGATTCAGGCTCTCGTCTCGCTCCCTCCCACACGAGGCGGTGGAGCTCAGGCTGCCCACACGGTCTATGCAGTGTGTTATCTGCTCCCAACGACACCCACTCCCACAACAAAGAGGCTCGCCTCCACGGGGGCCACCTCTTCTCGGCGCAGCCGGGAGGTGCAGCGGGCGAGAAGCCCGACCGTCCCCCACGGCTGACCCCCGTCCTGACTTAGAAGCGGTCCCCGGTGGGCACTGCTGCGCCAGGGACCGAGGGTTGGAAGACGGCCTCGCGAGCCCCGAGCGCACGCAGAGACCTAGAGCGCAAGTAGCGCCCGAGGGGCGCGCGGCGACACTGCCTCCGGCGGCGATTTAAAGGGCAGCGAGGGGCGGAGGGATCCTTTCCGACAGCTCAATACGAATCCCTCCGCCGCGAGCGAAGCGAAGCGACGACTGGTTTCGTCCTCTCGAAATTCGCTTTTTTGTTCCTCCGCCGCGGGAAGCAGCCGGCGGGGGAACTCATTTCTTTCTCGGGTTTCTCCGCCTCCCCCACCCCCACCCAACCCCCAGTCCCGTAAAAGCAACAGAGGCGGCCGAAGAGGCGTGAGCTGAAGTGGTGTCCCTCCGCCCGGCCGAGGGTACTCCTTTTCGTGTCCTTCCACCGTTCCCGGGCGGCGTCCGAGCGGCTCACCGGGGGCGGCGACGCGTCTGCGGCGCGGACGGCGAGGCTCCGGGGCTATGAGGTGAGGGCACCCGGGCATCGGAGACGGCACGCGCGGCGCCAGGACCCGGGGCGCGGAGTCGCCAGGCCAGCGGCTGCCCCCGGGATTCCCCGAGGCCGCGCGAGAGGCGAGGTGAGGCCCGCGGCGCGGGGGCGCGGGGGGCGCGGCGCGGTGGGGGCGGGGGGCTCCGGCCGCGGCTGGGACTCATTTCCCAACAGCGGATGGAGCGGGCGGTGCTGCGGCCGAGGCCGCCATCTTGGATTTTACTCTTCCCATTTTTCTGTGGAATTATTTTTGGTGATTAATTTTCTTGAGGGACGAGGAAGTGTCGCCGGGCAGAGCGGGGCCACCCCCCCCGCCCAGCGGCGCAGCGGCGGGGCGGCTGGGCCTCGACGCGCCCCGAGGAGGAACGGGTAGCGCCCGGCGGTGAGCAGGGGGGCGGACGCCGGCGCGGGCGTGCGGGGGGCGGCGGGGCGCCGGACGCGGGCGGCGGGCTGGGGGCGGGCCGGCGGGAGCGCGGGGGGCGCCGGGCCGGGCCAGGGGTGGGGGGACCGGAGCCGGGGCCGCGGGGGCGGTGGGGACGGCTGGGGGAGGGGCGCGGCGGCGGGCGGGGGGCGCGGGCCCTGCAGTGGGCGCCGCGGCCGGAAGGGAGCGGTAGCGGCCGCCGGGCAGCGCCGGGCCGGCCCGCGGCCGCACGAGGGGAGCAGCCCCGCCGCTCGCGATTGGGGGACTCTGTTTTCCCTCTTCTCCAATGGGCAGCCGTGAACGGTCTCGCCCAATCTGCTCTCTCCGCCGCGCTTAACTTTGGGTTGTTTTTGTTTGGGCTCGAGCCTCTTTCCTGGTCTCCTCCCGGGCTGGTCCTCCGCCCCGCTCCGTGCCTTCTCCTGACGGCGGCTCCAGCACCTTGGCCCGGGCTGGCCTCCCTGGCCCCGGGCTCCCCCCGCCCCCTGCGCTTCGGCCCGGTCCCCCTCGGTCTGCCGGCGTCTCGGGTCCCGAGGACTCGCGCCGGTCCTCCCAGAGTGACACGGTCCCCTTCCACATCCCCAGAGATGATGATCCGCGTCACCCCCAACTGTGAGAGTGGGGGAAACGTGAAGAAGGTGACAACGGGACCGGACTTGCTGGAATGGTATAGAAGCACTTGGGACGCAGAGAAAGTCACTCTTTGTCGGTTTGGATTCGTTTGACCCGGTTTTGGAGCTCTGGCTTCCGACCCATTGAGTAGGGGAAAGTTTTTTTAAGAGTATTGAGGAGGCGAACGTGTATTCTTTGAAATTGAAGTTTTTCAGAACTTGCCAAACGAAATTCTCTTGGGGAGGGGGGGGAATCTTTATTTCGAGTAGGAGGCAGAAGAATTGATTGGTTGTGATTGTGCTTCTTTTCATCAGGATCTTTTTTTAGATTTAAAGCGTTTTGATGTGGAGCATGGCTTAATAAGATCATTGGTGGAAACAGTTGCCAGCTGAAGCTTTTTTCCTTCCCCCTTTGGTCTTTAATAGTAAGAACACGCGTATAACTTTCGGTGATTTAATTGTCAAAGTATAAGCATTTTGAAGAAGGAAGGGGAAATCAGTTTTGCCTGAAATCACAGATAATTTATACCTACCAGGAAATTGAAGAGTTACTTAGTATAGACACAAGTTTACCTTGTAGCCAAATGTTTAGCGCCTTCACCACAGGTGTGGTCCTGTCACTGTGGGGCTCGCTAGATTCCAAGATTAAAGTCCACAAACGCTTTGATCCCAGCACGTGTGGGAACTCGGGCCCCTTTTCCAGTTTCTAATCACTCAGCATTCTCTTCTAACTTCCGAGCTTGGGCCCCAGCAGTTTCCCTGTCTGCTGTCTTTTGGTCATGTCTTGCCCAGCACTCCTGCGCTCCCGACCCTGGAATGACACTCTTCAGAAGGGCCTCATGAGAGTGTGACCTTCTGGGTAACTCTTCCACACGGCACAGAACTCTTACACACGTGCAGAGACTGAGCGCTCAGGAGAGGGCATGCCTCTTGTGTGTTCTCTGAGCAGTTGTTGTGTTGTATTTGGCTATTTACCTGCCATCCCCTAGGTCTTCTTGCTAGCTTATTGAGTTATCTCCTCTGCTCTGAGCAGGTGCTCAATAGACACTTGATGAAAAATACTCATTTATTAATAGAGCTTGCTGATAAGTAGTTGTTCAAAATACTTGCGTTCTATTGTTATTACAGCATTGCTGTCCTTAACATAACCACTTAGTTTGAGAGCGAAAGGAGTGATGGGGATATTTACTCTTCAAGGGGAGAAGAGAGTAGGGCTTAATTTTTTACCCATAAACTTTGAAACTAAACTCAAAGTCATTTCCAAGTGCTGTCTTGCCTGTGTTTTCATTTGTCTTGTGCACGCTGAAGTGCTTCTGTTTTGAACTCTCCACACCTGAAGCAAATTGCAGTGGGCACTGTGGGGGTCTAGCGGAATATGCATGTGAAGGAAGTGGCTGTAGGTTGTTTGTGTCTTTGAGCGTTGTTTTGTGGGTGGGGCATGTTGGTTTACAGATTTTCCCTTGGGTCCTCTATATCTGGGATTGAGTCTGGTTTCTCTTAGTTTGAGTGTCAGTTTGTGGCCTTGTAGGACAGGAGCGTGTGGCCTGATGGTGTTGCACGGTCATGTATTTGTGTGTGTAGCATGGTAGCAGCTCCCTGTCTACAGGAATGCCCTTCACACAGCTTAGGAAAGCAAATCCTTTCAGACAAGTGGTGTCGATCAATTATCCTGTGCCTGCCATGTATGAGCTTTGCTTTCTCTCCTCTCATAAAATCCTTCTTCGGTGGGCAGGAGTTACAGGTCTCTGTCAGCCCTGGAACACACTAACTGCTAAGTTTTACACACAGGGTTAAAGATGGGGATGTGTGTCTTTGTTTCAAAGTGTATATTAGTTCCACAGATACACTGAGGAAATGAAGGCAGAGAGGGTAGACAGCTGTGTCTCAGGTGGAGCACTGTGCAGTAGAAGTTTTATGTGTAAAGATGTAACTCAGTTTTTCGGCCTGATTTTTAGTTACTTTTTATTTGGAGGGAAAATGTATTTGCTGATGTGTCTTGGTGTAGGGGAGGGTTTTAATTGCAATAAAAAGCACACACTTTACTAGTGCGTAAAACTAGCCAGTGCACTTTAAATTGCAAGTATTAGGAGTTCTAACCATTAAAACAGTGATTTGAAAAGTAACTTTTTTCTTGGATAGTTGGTCAACTTTGAAATCTTAAAAAACATACTCTGATTGAAGCTCTTAAGTATGAAATGTGATTGAACCCTGTGGTTTTCATGAGGGAGCTCCATGGAACAAGCTGTACAGGGAAGGGTCCTAGTGAACAAATCAGGAGTTCCACTGGGCTTAGCAAGTTTCACAACTTTCTTTAAATTCTATCAGCTCTACATTCCGTCCCCCCCCCCCCAAAAAAAAGAAACCTTGTACAAATCTGGTTTTACTTTAGTTCTTACTGTAAGCCCTTTCTTTCCCCGTAATTTGGTATTCCCTAGAAGATTAGAAGTGTTGGTTGTGAGGAAATGTCATGTTTAACCAGTATCTTAACTCTGTATTTTTCTACTGATGTGACTGGAGTTTGTCTTTGTTCAAATCAGATTACAGAAAGTCTGAGTAACTTTTCACTTAGAAAAATGTATCTTGTTTTATTCAACAGACACATCCTCAAATTTTAGTCATGCACATCTTACTTTACTTGCTTTATAGGACTTTACTATTTTAAAGTTGTGGAATAGAGAGAATCCATCTGTGCAGGAAAGACTCATTACTTTGTTTTTCTAAACCCACATTAATGTCTAGTTTAAAAAAAAAACACCACCCTTTTCTTTTGAGCCCCGTGTTGCTCAGAGGCAGTGGGTACATTGTCTTTATATAGTTGGTGAGGAAGCAGAACTGTTTGCATTAATTCTAAAATATTCTCACAGAATGGGAAAAAAAGTCACTGATTTCCATAGTCATTGATGCTCTGAATTATGTTTTGCTTCATGATTTTCCTTCCATTAGGTTAAAGGGTTCCTAGGACCACTGGGGCACTTTGATCACTCACTGCCTCTGTCTACCATGCCAGCCACATTGGGGGCTGGCTAGTATTTGTGTAAGACAGACTCAAACTCAAACACTGCACAGTCTTTTCTAAGGATATACCTAATTTTATAGTATAATTATACATACAATTCTGGGGCTGGATGAAGGACCACTGGAGTAAGACTCAATACCCGTGTTCTAGTCTGCTCCTTATTTGTTTAAAGCATTGATGGGGCCAAGCCTTAGTTTCTTCATCTGTAAAATAGCTAAACATTAATCTCTGACATCACTTGCGGTTCTAGAGTATACTCTTTTACACTTAATCACCACCCATTTTCTCACTTCTAAGAGCTAACTTAATCACTTTGCCATCTCTCCAATTGGTTTACATAGTTCATCTGTGTATTTCACATAGTCTTTCCTCCTTGTTTTGAAATATTATTAAGTTGATGGTACAGCTTACAATCAGGCTTCCCTGGTGGCCCAGTGGTAAAGAATTCTCCTGCAATGCAGAAGATGCAGGTTCAATTCCTGGGTCAGGAAGATTCCCTTGGACAAGGAAGTGGCAACCCATTCCAGTATTCTTGCCAGGAAAATCCCACGAGGAGCCGGTGAGCTACAGTCCATGGAGTTGCAAAGAGTTGGACCTGGCTGAATGAGAACACATGCACAGCTTACGGTCAGTTGGGTTTTAGAACTTGGAGACGGGGATCCCAGAAGTTTGATTCTTAAGGTCTGTGTAGCTCCCACATCTTTGTGGCTCCTACTTGTCAGCTGCATTTCTGCAGGATGTCCTATCTTCTGTATTACGAGAGCACACAAAGATGAGAGCACGTGAGAAGCCTCTTTGTGGGTGATACACGTGTGCCTCCAGACTTCAGCTTAGACGCTCGAGTTCTAGACCCAGGCTAACTGTTTAAGGCAGCTTGACTTCAGGAAGGCAACTTCATTCTGAGCTTCAGCCATCTTATTTGTAGTGATAATACCTGTCTCACCTAGCTCATAGCGTGGCCAATCTGGGGAACCCTTGGTACGTGTGTTAGGATGGAACAAACACCTGGCTGGGGGGTCTTTATAGGAGCACCAGGTCCGCAGATCTCTTGTGACGCTCGGATTGACTCTCAGGTCTGAGGCAGAAGCGCCCTTCCAGTGAAGGTCTTGCTGCTGCTGTTCTGCGCTCTGCTGCTCTGCTCAGCAGATACCTGGCTTTCACAGGCTTCCCTTTGGTTTTGCAAAGGTCCCGCACGCGGTAGTTGCTTAGTGCAGTTTCCCGAAAGTGGAAACTCTCGTGCGCCCTCTAGTGTTTCCTGGATGTAGGCTGTATTCCAGCACCACGAACAGTGCCTAGAGGCTCCCAGGAGTTTCTTGATAAATATTGAATTGAGTTGTTTCTCGGTCTGCAGAATGATTCATTTTGTCTGTCTGATTTTTAACAAGGTTAGAATATCTGATACAGTTTAACCTCTGAAGAGTATTTTCATTTTCAAGAAAAGCCCTTATGATGCATGTTTTGAAGGGATATGTATTTTCAGCAAGAAAACTAATTTACTATTAGGAAGACGGAACCCCCCTCCCCCCTCCTACCTGCTGAAGAGTAAAGGCGGCTGATCCTTCGGCCAGTGAGCCAGTAAAGGCTGGAACTAGAGAGACCAGATAGAAACCTGCTTCTCCCATCCCCTCACAAAAGAGAGAAGTCCCCAAAGTCTGATTGTGGACTCTGTGGGAGAAGGCGAGGGTGGGATGATCTGAGAGAACAGCATCGAAACATGTATATTATCAAGTGTGAAACAGATCACCAGCCCAGGCTGGATGCATGAGACAAGTGCTCGGGGCTGGTGCACTGGGATGACCCAGAGGGATGGGATGGGGAGGGAGGTGGGAGGGGGGATCAGGATGGGGAACACATGTAAATCCATGGCTGATTCATGTCAATGTATGGCAAAAACCACCACAATATTGTAAAGTAATTAGCCTCCAACTAATAAATGAAGAAGAAAAAAGAGAGACAAAAAGACACCTCATTCAGAGGAGGATT